CGTTATTACGGACGAGATATCTCGCCAACACGATACCACTTATGCGACGCTTTATACGATATATCTTGCGTCACAACTTTCGTTATTTGAAAGTGCTATAGACGAGATATTTCGTATACTTTAATATATCATCTAAAAATTTAGAATAAAGAATTCATTTAAAGACATTTTATTGATATCTCGGCCATAACACAGCACAATCGAAATTGCGTCATCTCAAGCGACATTGTGATGGAGAAATATCTCGTTCTCGGTAACAAAAAGATTAATTAAATAAATGAGTAAACACACTCATTATCGACACATCTTGATATTAGAATTATTTAGTTTTAGTAACAAAACATGCAAGTAATCGTTTGTAATTTGCTATTTAAAATGAAACATCCATGTTTTTGCGATCAGCCATCGTTATTTTTCATCTGCCATTCTGTATATGCTATAGTATATGTTGTTATGTTAGCTCCTCCTGTACTGTTGCTACGGATAACAACCGTGAGCGCGCAAAGCGCGGCGGGCAGTCTTACGCGCGTAAGATAGCTTGATGCATGCTTATTCGCGGGTCTTTGTTAATTAAAATCTCNGTAACTATTGCGAATCTAGCAAAATGGTATAGGACTTTTCGACTCAGGTTTACTTCTTCTACCTGCCTACGAGAGATGTTACACCAATTCTGGGACACCCTGTATACTTATACAGGGTGTTTCAGAACTATGGGATCAAACTTCTAGGGGTTATTCAGTGCAACAGTAGAAAACATTTGAGTATAGGGACCCATGTCCGGAAAAGTGTCACTATCGCACTACGGCCCTAAGACGCGTTAAAATTTAGAAAGACGATGAATTGCCTAAATAGGATTTAATGCATTTAATGTTTGCCTTTTGTACATGATATCATCACAACAATTGNCTTTTGTACATGATATCATCACAACAATTGTTCAAAATGTCTTCCTCCAACCTGAATACACCGATTTAAACGTCGCACGTGATTTCGGCGGACTTGACTAAAAATTTGATACTCGTTTTGAATGATTTCAAATGCTGCTGTAATTCGTCCAATTAAGTCTTTGTCTCAAATTAAATGCATTAAATCCTATTTAGGCAATTCATCGTCTTTCTAAATTTTAACGCGTCTTAGGGCCGTAGTGCGGTAGTGACACTTTTCCGGACATGGGTCCCTATACTCAAATGTTTTCTACTGTTGCACTGAATAACCCCTAGAAGTTTGATCCCATAGTTCTGAAACACCCTGTATATAAACATAACTATTGGGTTGGTGGAAAAGTTCTGCGGATTTTTAGTATAAAATTTAAACACAAAATCGACATTTATAAAAATTAATTTAGTCCACAAAGTGTTGACCGTCTTGATCTACAACTTGTTGCCAACGTTTCGGTAGAGCTTTGATGCCGCTCTCGTAAAACTTTTGGGGCTTGTGGGCAAAAAAATCAACGAGGTGATTTCGGATGGCCTCCAGTGAGTCGAATTGATGACCGTCAACATTGTTTTGCAGCGAGCGAAACAAATGATAATCAGACGGTGCAAGGTCTGGCGAATATGGTGGGTGCTGCATCATTTCCCAGCCAAAGCTCTGCAATTTTTTTTCGTGATCAAAGAAGTATGTGGTCGAGCGTTGTCATGATGGAAAATCACACCTTTTCTATTCGACAATTCTGGCCGCTTCTCTTGCACTACCTTGCGCAATTTGTCGAGTTGAGCGCAGTATTTCTTCGAATCTATTGTTTGGCCCTGCGGAAGCAGCTTGAACCACAGCACTCCTTTATAGTCCCACCAAATACATAGCATTACTTTCTGTGGATGCAAATAGGTTTTGCCACCGTTTGTGAAGACTCGCCCGGACCGCACCACGACTTCCGCCGCTTAATGTTGTTGTAGACAACCCATTTCTCGTCTCTAGTGATGATCCGTTTCAGAAATGGGTCTAGAGAGTTTTGTTTCAGGAGAGATTCACACACTAAAATCCGATCCATGATGTTCTTTTTACTCAGTTTGTGCGGCACCCATACATCAAGCTTTTTCACCATGCCAAGCTTTTTTAATCGATCCATAACGGTTGTATGATAAATGCCAAAGCGCTTTGCAATCTCTCGAGTCGTTAAGTGTCGATCACTCTTCACTGTAGCCAGGAGTTGGTCGTTGTCAACAAAATTTGGCCGTCCAGAGCGTGGTGCATCTTGGAGGTTAAATTTTCCGGAACGGAAGCGAGCAAACCATCTTTCGCATGTGTCTGCGCTTAAGGCCGAGGCACCATACATAGCGCATATTTCGCGCTTAGCATCCGCCGCTTTATATCCTTTACGGAATAAAAACAGCAAAATATGGCAAAAATGCAATTTTTGATCTTCCATTTTAGTTGTATGCCGTACACGCAAAACACGTCCGACCAAAACAAACACTTCTGCCAAATGTCAAGCGTAGTGTGACTTGTCAAAATATGTGCGGCAGACTGACATTTGAACGACACGCGATAATTATTTTCTGACACTAGTGTCATCTATTAAAAAATCCGTAGAACTTTTGCACCAACCCAATATTATAATATTGCCTTACTAGTTGTTTTATTTTTGATAGTTTAAAGAAAATTTAACGCTAATTATACAAATTTATTATAGTGTTTTATTTGTTATTCTTACTATTTTAATAATTGTTTCACTACGACATTTATGTATTGTCATGGGTTTTTACTTTCTTACTTAAATAATATAATATATTTTACTTTTTTACACTTACCGTAAGTAAGTTTTTTATATCACGTAAAAACTAATTATTAAATAAATAAATATTTTATATAAATTATTCAAGTCACTTTCAATGCAGATTTACTTTTTTCAATGTTTGCGATAATTTTATGGTAACATATGATTGTCGGTATTATTGGTAATCGCGTCAGTATATATTATCGGTAACCGTGCCGATATATGGATTAAATCTCGAACCGCTTGCGCGTGGTAGTAGGAGACGGCCGGAGGAGAACTACTTCTCCCCCCTTACGGCGCACGATATGGTGCTCTGTACTGTACCATCGAAGTCACAAATATCGAACGAAAGAGACTTCTGGAGACGTGACGGACACGAAAAATGCTCAGTAAAATTATAATGAAGAGAAAGGGTTTGTGAACGGGATGAGAAATAAAGAAAGAGACAAACCAAGCGGGTTTATAACAAAGAATAACAAGTATATTTTTATCATTCGCGATACAAACGTAAGTTACATGTGACGTAGCGATACGTCTCGCACACGTGACCTTTGCTAAATGTCGGACTTGCTTGAATACATGTATGACAAGTGACACCTCAATAACGTGAAGTAAACGACCATTGAGTATGAGACAAACACGAGCGGACTGTCCACTTGCCGCGCAGGAGAGAACAAATACGCTTCGCACGGAAAGAACACGCGGTTTCATACATACGTATTTCGCGAATAATGCTCACGACGCGATACACAAAGTTATTATCCGAATTGGCTTTACAGCGTCAGAACTCTCGTCTCACCGCGGTAAGGCACTGGTTCGTAGGCCTGATGCTCCTTCTCGTCGGATCCTCGTCGTAGACAGAAGTGCCGGGATGGTCAGGGCTCACTCACACACAAGGTCGGTTTTTGCTCACTCTTGTTTTTTCAGGATCGCGGCTTGTGTAGCAGTAAAGGAAATTGATCCTGCGCAGAGGCATTAGCTGTGCGGCTCTGCGTGTTGCATCCTTCTCTCGCAGCGCATTATCAACCTATTAGGTCGTGTTTGTGTGTCGGGCCGTTGATTTGCTATCGGGATTTACTATGACAGCGCGGCGCTTTCTCAAACATTCGGATGCGACCGGAAACCTCTCTTAAGATAAAGGTGCTTGTTATGAGATAATTACCTAATACAAGATAGCAAGCTATTTTATGTAAACAGCTTCAAATTCATAACTGCGTATTTTTAACACATCACTTTGTAACAGAGTGGCTTGCCCGGTCCTCCTTCCGCCGAACAGCTCGGTCGGGCCAGGATTCGGATGAGGGAAAAGGAGAAACTGCGACACGCTTTAATTAAGTATTTGAGTGGTAGTTATATTTTGTACTTTGATCTTTGATTACAATATGAGAGCCGGTGTGGCCAGTAATAATGATACAATTAGACGTTCTCTTAATTCTACGTGATAAACGCGAATATTTACAGTGGAAAGTGTGTGCAGACGACCGGCGTGGTCTAGCAAAGACAATAAGACGTGCTCCTTTTCTTAACACTACAATAAACATGAATATTTACAGCAGAAAGAATATTCGTGGCCGTGTACAACGGAGTGACTTTCGGTCGGAACTCGCGGCGCGGGAACGCGGGGCGATGGTCTGGTCGGGTCAAACAGAAGTATGGAGTCGGGTATTAATCGCGATCGGATGGAAGCTAAGGTGACCGGCTGAGTCAACACCTTAGCTGGACGGAAAGATAGTCCGGGAGTTGGATAAGTCAATACTTTGGCCCGGTACCGACTGAGTCAATACCTCAGCCGGGCAGAACTAACGGTCTAGAAAGTAGCCGAGTCAACATCTCGGCCAACGGAAATCGCAATGGCTAGAAGGTACCGAGTCAACATTTTGGTTCGAGTCCGACCAAGTCAGCACCTCAACTGGTTTGATTGTCGGAGCTTTGCTTGATAGGATCAGGAGATTGGGATGATTCCGCTCGCCGAGCACAGCCGGCTTATATACTCGGCGACAGCTTAAACTTCGCCCGGAATTGGCGTGCGGTGTAAGCGGCGTGCGTGGGGCCATCTCGCTCGGCGCGGTGACGTGTTTTGCTCGCGGTAATACAAAATTTTTATACCGTGCTTATGTTTTTAGTAGCAATAATAACAATAACAATAATAATAACAATAACAATAACAATAATAATAATAAATTTGGCAGAGCCGCTCCGTCTCGATAACAAATCCTCACTTGCAGAATGTGTTAGGCAAGAGAGATTTCTCCGAGTCTCCCCGCCACACACAGCCTGCATAATCCTACCTCATTCCTTCCCGTTTACAAAAGAGGTTGTTGCCTTTGTCAGATTTTTTCCGCTTTTTTTTGGCGTTCATCAGTCTCTTACAGAATATAAAGAATGCTCGCCAGCACTCTTTGTCCCGTACTAGCTGCTTGACCACAGTTGCCAGGGACAAGTTCGGCTTCACTACAGCGGTGAGAGCCGCACGCTCTATCACCCATGCGACACACCCCGCCAGGGTATGTTGGGCAGTGTCTACTTTCTGTCCGCAGTGTTCGCAAAGAGAGGTCTCTGCCTTGCAGATCCGGAAGAGATAGGCGCCAAAGACGCCACGACTGGTAACTACTTGGATGGCCCTAAAAGTCAGAACCGCTCCCCGGCATGATATCCATCGGTTTAAAACAGGTTCGAATACCTCACGGATTTTTCGTCCAACAAGAGCGGGATCCCGCAAGCAAGCCCACCACTTCTCAACTCCGGTTTGTTCAGCCCGTTCCCTAGTCTCTGTCAACTCAATGGGACAGGCCAGGAGTCCCTCCCTGCGACCTCGGCGTTCGAACATCGCTGCCCGCTGCCGCGCCATTATGTCGATCGGCAGCATGCGCGCCAGCACCCTTGTCGCCTTACCCGACATTGTTCTGTACGCGCATATAACGCGCGCCGCCACGAGTCTTTGGATTCTTGTGAAAGGTCGTGCCAACCTGCCCTATGCTACCTCGCGGTACTAAATAGAGGCCTCATATAGAATTATGGAGTAGACAACGTCAGGATACAAGCGTCGCACACGCGTGCGCAGCCTCTGTAAATTAGGCATGAGCCCTGCAAGAGACCCTGCCACCCGTCCCGCCTTTTCCGCCACCTGACAAAAGTGCTCGGCAAACGATCAACGATCGTCAACCCACAGACCTAAATATTTCATCGTGGGTTGAAAAATAACTTGCGTCTTATCTACTCACACCTTTACAGAAAGAGGTGCCGCACTTCTGCTCTTGGGTCGAAACACCACAACCTCGGTTTTAGAAAAGGATAAGCCCCAGGCGCGCCATGCGCTGTTCTACCATGGCTACCGCGACAGAGACGCGAGACTCTGCCTCTCGATCCGTGCACCTTCCGGACAAGACAAGAGTGTCATCCGCGTAACATACAAAAAAGCATCCTTCCAGAAGACCCTCTCGTAGTAAACACCAAATCCCAGGTCCCAAAGAAGCGGGCCTAAGATCCCTATATGTTATCCTATGCGTGCGTAGCCGTCCATCTCCGCAAGAGAAAATAAACTTACATAAAAACATCAAACTTTTGTTAGTGTTGCTCACTGCCAAAGGTGACATACTATCTGCAAAGAAGTTATCGCGTACGCGTAGAAGAGAAAAATAATCTCTATAACTTTAAAATATGTATTTAACACTTTTATGTCATAGGCTTCACTGTCATTTCAATGCACTCAAATGTACAAATACACTATAAGTGATTTATCATGTAGTTTTGTAAATTTATTACATACTTTGTCGGTATAACTTACACTTTCTGCAATCTTATATTCTTCAATGAGATACGTAGTTGCTCTTAATATGAGATACTTTATATTAGGACCTGTCAAGTTCTTTATTCTGTTAAGTTTTTTATTTGATGAACTAGTAAGTTTTTAATAATCATATTTTTAGATAAAAGCAAAGAAGAAATATCATGGTCTTACAGTCAATTAGAGGCTAAGGCAGTAAGAAGCAAAACCATGAGATATTCAAAAGCATCTAAACAATTCAATGTTCTAAAGCGTATTATATTAAGTGATATGTTACGAATGACGATAGTTCTGTTGTTGTTAAGATTTCTGTAGGAAAAAAACCTCCTTGTGTCTCATATTAAGAACTCTTTTTTTGAATCAGCAAAATCAGCACTTTTGATAAAAAAATTTACATAAAACAAAGTATAGCTATTATTGATTGCTAACTTTTAGGGATAAAACTTGAATATATTTCCCATAAGTTTTCTATAAATCTGAAAGTTAAGAATCTATATGTAATAAATTAAATAAGTAATAAGTCTTTAAAAAAAGATCTCATAATAGGCATCTTTACCTTACTGAAAAGATCTTTTGATCTCGATCCTCTCGTCTCGCTATGTGTTCGCGAACGGATATCTCCATTTTAGACGTGGGAAGTCTAGCTAGGACTTTCCCGCAAGAGAAAAAATTGTGGTTTTCCGTAAGGCTTTCCGGCACACACAATGTCGGTACGTCCGGCAAGCGCTCTCTTCTCTGGCTCCGTATCACGCTGCAAGATCTAAAGTTGCTCTGCTGTCTTGCTCATCTCCGCTCTAACTGATCACCGATTAGTGACAAGCTGCCTCACAATCTGCTTACCGTTGAATTCTACACAAAATACATATGTTTCTCAGAGTCCCAAAAACGCAATCGCAACACTAAAATACAAGCATTTCTCGACGTCCCAAGAACACTATTGCAACACAAATCTGCAATTCTCAGTGTACTGCAAATGCAACCGTAATACCACAATTACGACCGCACCTGAATTTTAATTTAACACAAAAATACAAAAAAGAGATGCAAAATCTACAAAAATGGACGCTACTAAAGACGGAAATTGCCCTCTCTCTTTGTTTGCATTGATCCCGAGAGAACACGATTTCACGACTCTTTACCACTATTGTAATTAATCAATCAAGAGACTGGGGCCAAAAAAGCGTCACGTCACATATGCATAATCTCACTTGTACATACAGGGTCATCAAAAAGTATCGGATCCCCCTAATATCTTCAGTTAGAATACATTTTGGAGAAAATGTTCAATAGCAAAGTTGTATGGTTTCAAGCAAGGAGTAAGATGATGACCTTGACTTTAATCTTGACCATGTCCTTTAAGGTCATTTAAAAGTCAACCTCATTTTTTTTAATGGAACCCCCTACATTTTATTGCATATTTTTATAGCTTCTCTCGAAAGAGCTTTCCAAAACACTATAATACAACATTTTTTCATTAAGTACTTATTGAATTATAAAGGTTTTGAAGTTAACAATTTTTTGACACAAAATGTAAAATATCTTGTAAAATATTATTTAGTTTTCAGTAATCATAACCTTAATACTTTTGTACGTGGAATAATGAGACCAATTAATTGGTTTAAAGAAAATACATTACTCAAATGTGTCGGATCCCCTTAATCATTTCAGTAAAAATGCATTTTGGAAAAATGTCCAATAGCAAAGTTGTACGGCTTCAAGCGGTTATGCTAGTAGGCTACGGCGGAAAACTGCCCGAAGGTTAGGTTAGGTTAGGTGATCGCGAGAAGTTGCTCAAATGCGTGATGTTCGAAGGCGTTAGCGGGAATCTGCCCGAAAGCGTTGGCGAGGCCGATCTTTATTCTCTCACTTTCGCAGGCACAAATGTACGAGCTTTTAAGCAAACAGTACAGATCACTGATTTTAATCTTTGATACAGTGTTGTCTTCTTCTTAGCGAGCAGCAGTTATCTCGTAGACAAAAACAAACAGCTCCAAAAATTTTTTTTGTAACAAAAAAAGACATTGCGCTTCAATTGATTGCCTCAAACATCTTTATTTTGTTTCCAATAGTCCAGAAATTTTTTGTAAATATTAATTATTGATGTATTCAATTTTAAGTTGCTCAACGAGCTTTTTGCTAGTGCTGGTTGAAATAAAGAAATCAATAGTTGGACCAACACTTAATAATTACTATTTTTTTCTACTTAATTATTTAGATCAATTTCCTATTACTTACCTGATTAATTTTTCTTTGCTCTAATTAAGAATGGCGGAGTTTTCTGAAAAAGATCGAATAACACTATTAATGATGCGAAGATGGGGGGATCAACAAAGAGGGTATAAAACAGTAACGCGATTATTTAATGAAAATTTTTGGAATGACAATAATAAAATCTCTAAAAGTACTGTAATCCGTGCTATTAAAAACCGTACAAGATCTGATAGACGTAAAACAGCAACAAATAATGATAAGGCATTAAATGTTTTACAGTCTTTTGTTGAAAATCCCCATATTTCCATCAATCGCGTTGCACAAGAACACGAAATCGGTCATGCATCTGTCAGTAAAATTTTGAAATTGAATAAATGGCATCCATACAAACTCCATTTGTGCCAAGAGTTGTCCGAAGACGATCTTGATAGACGCATCGAATTTTGTGATCTTATGATGGAGATGATTGTCGACGATCCTCTATTACTTAACCCTCCGGAGTTACACTGGGTAAAATTTACCGAATCGAAACTAACATTTGTGTGTATCTTCGGAGAGGAGAGAANGGGGGTCTGATTAGTGGCTCGAAAAATACGTCTCAAAAGCTTGTTTTAACGCTCAGTAATAAGCGTTAGAAAATCGCTTCGGTAAAATTCACCCAGTGTAACTCNAATGCTATGTGGCATAAATAAGTGTNACTCCGGAGGGTTAATAATATTGTTTTTTTTCTATGATGAGGCAACATTTGAACTGACTGGAAATGTAAATAGACACAATTGTAGGTACTGGAGTGACGTTAATCCTCATCACTGAAAAAAAGACAATCATACTCAATATCTACGAAAAGTTAACGTATGAGCTGGTATTCTTAATGGTAGTAGGGCCTTTCTTCATTGAAGGCAATTTGACAGCACAGGTATACACAGTCATGCTTCGCGAATAAATTGTTCCAGCTATTCGAGACATAGCTGGTGGAAATATGGATGAAATTTATTTCCAACAGGATGAAGCTCCACTTCATTATGGTGTCATTGTCCGTCAATATTTGAATGAGGTCTTTCAGGACAGGTGGATAGGGCAAAGGGGTCATATTGAGTGGCCACATCGGTCTCCGGACTTGACCCCACTTAACTTTTTTTTGTGGGGTTACTTGAAAAGTAAAGTTTATGCCACCAAGCCTCAAGATTTAGATGATTTAAGAGAAAGAATAACTCGAGAGATAGAACTAATACCGCCGGAAACGTACCGGAATGCGGTTTCAGCTGTTTATAATAGATTGGCATATTGCCAGGCTGTTGAAGGGCAACAATTTGAACATTTGTAGTAAATTGTTTGATACAATTGAATATTGTGCCCAAGCTGACCGATTGGAATAAAATTCGCCTTAACTGGCCGGACCCACACGTCACTCTTGTCTTAATTGGCCGGACCCACACGCCACTCTTGTCTTAACTGGCCGAAATCACACGCCACTTTTGCTTTAATTGGCCGGACCCACACGCCATTCTTGTCTTAACTGGCCGGAATCACACGCCAGTCTTGCCTTAACTGGCCGGACCCACACGCCACTCTTGTCTTAACTGGCCGGAATCACACGCCACTTTTGCCTTAACTGGCCGGACCCACACGCCACTCTTGTCTTAACTGGCCGGAATCACACGCCACTTAACAAATTGTTAATTCCAAACCTTTATAACTCAAAAAGTACTTAATGAAAAAATGTTTTATTATAGTGTTTTGGAAATTTCTCGAGATAAGCTATACAAATGTGCAATAAAATGTAAAGAGTTCTATTTAAAAAAATAAGGTTGACCTTAAAATGACTTTAAAGGACATGGTCAAGATCAAAGTCAAGGTCATCATCTTACTCATCGCTTGGAACTATACAACTTTGCTATTGGACTATTTCTCCAAAATGCATTCTAACTAAAGATATTAGGGGGGTCCGATACTTTTCGATGATTCTGTATATGTACAGGTACTCTTATCTGTGCATATATATATGTACAAATAAGTGTGCATGTATATTTGTATATATATAAATATAGAATATATATACATGCATATATTTCTTTTGCAGAGAAAACATCTTTGGAAATATCAGAATCTTTTTGCCACAAAGAAAACAAAAGTAAGTAAACACTTTATTGATAAAGGTGTATGTATCCCACACAGAAAAAAACTTTCAGTAGACATCTATTAGATATTGCATAGCGCTTTTGATATCTAATGTATGTCTAATGAAGGTTTCGTTCTGTATGCGTATGTATCGAAATGTAAATTTATATCTTGCGTTTTTCAGATAAAATAGCTGTGGAAAGGACAAGACCATATCGTCAAAAAGAAACTGTGTTAACTGTAAGTAAAACCTTTATTCTTATCCAAATACATCATTTACACACAAGCACGCGCGCATGCACGCGCGCGCGCACACACACACGCGCGCGCACACGCACACACACACACACACGTATGGATACATATATATATACAGGGTGTCTGGAATCGTTGCCAATAATTCGGGAAGTGATTGGAGATTCAAAAAAAAGAAAAAAGGTATATAAACATAAATCTAGAAATAAGTCGTTTCTAAGTTATAGCCACTTTTATGTTTAACAATCGTAATTTTTTTATAATCATAATTTATTTTAGTGTATTGTAACATAAATATCTTCATTTCGGACTATTTTGATAGAAAAATAAGAACTTGGATTTATGCTGAAGGTAGTCAATTTGAACATAAATAGATATTTAAATTAAATTAAATATGATATTGTATATATATATATATATATATATATATATAAATGGATTTCCGTTTCCGGTAGCGAGTGTGATAGTCTAGTGTGTGAAAGCTCTCAAATAAGTGCAAATATAGAAAGTGAGAGAGTGGACGTAAGTGGAGTAGAGAGCGGAAAGAGAAAGCGGGAAGGCTAAGGTAATAAGGGAGAAAAGGGGGGTCGAAGCGTCTGAAGGGTATCAGTGTGCTCAGGGTAATATTCAAAGAAAGGTAAAAAAGATAGGTTACGTTAAGTTAGGTTGTGACCAGGCAAGATAAGGATGTACTCACTTTAGTCGGTCGCCACTTGTTTTCACCACTTAAACAAAAAGAATATTAAATTTGCTTTCTTTGTTTCAGGTGCGGACTCACCGGGAAGGATCACCAGGACGCCGTCGAAAGACCGGATCTTCACCACCGCTTCGCCACACACATACACACAAGGTAGGTATATGTCCAATAACTGAGATAATCTTTAATCACTTTAGTAACTATACGTTTTTATTACAGATAGGACTGCACGTACAAAACAATCCTAGCGCTCGCGTTATGTCGCTGGATGCGATATTGCTGCTTCTCGCTCACCAGCTCGAGAACGACAGAACGCCAGTGATGATAGATCGGGCCGGCCAGCACCAAGAGCACCGAAGTAGTGGGGGCACGCACACAAGCGAGAAACGCCATCCGTGTGCGTGACGTCACGCTCGGCTGTTCGACTCGTGGAAGAGCGCAGACATATTATGTTCTGCCTCGTTTCCACCAAGCCCGCTATGCGAGCAATACACTGAAGGTAGAAAGACACGTTTCACGTTGCGTGCATGTAGTGTATGACAACGCAAAATGCTTTTCCAAGACTGTAAGTCTTGAAAAAAGTACATAATATTAGTGATAAGGATGAGTTAAACATCTCAAGATGCATTTATTATAATATTTTTATTAATTCTTAATATAAGTTACCTGTGCTAATATTTAAAAGTTTTTAGAATATTGAAAAACATTTTATATATATATAAACTATATTATTAGTAGTAATAATTGTTCTATATGTTTAATTTGTAAATCACGAAAAGAATCTACATTTTACAGAAGCACAATCCTAAAGTATTTAATTCATATAACATATCATATAAATATAATATATTAATTAATTGAATTTCGTATAATATGAATTAAATATTTTGAGATTATATGTCTGAAAAATGTAGATTTTTGTCATAATTCACAAAATATATTTTGGTTTTCAACAGAAGCATCTTTGCAGCAAATGCTGCACAATATTATACCAATGCAACAACAGTTGCAACAACAAATGTTGCAAATGCAACAGCAGCAGCAGCATCAACAACGGCAGCAGCAGACCTAACAACAGCAGTCACAGTACCAGCCCCAACAACAGCAACAGCAGCCCCAACAACACCAGAAAATGCAAATAAATGCGACTAGTAAGTTATTTATTTAATATAACACAATTATTAGTTACTAAATATAATAACTGCAAATATTTTATTGTAATAATAATTCTCGTTTTAGGAAGACACAAAAGAAGAGCTGGTCAAAATAGGGTCCGCTGGTATCAACAGCGGGGTGGCCGAGGCGATGCCAGCGAGATAATATTCCCGAGCGGGAGAGGCCCGTATAGAAGAGGAGGCCCGCGCGAAAGAAGAGGCCGAGGAGTCTGTCGTGGCTCTCCAATTATTCAATACTATATTAATTATCAATAAAATAATTATAATATTGAATAATTAGAGATGTATATCAATAATATTAATTATCCATACATTACATATTACATATATGCAGTATCTAAAAAGTAAATAAAAAAACTTTTTAATTAAAAAATAATAAAAATATTGTTATTCCACTTATTTCATATAAAAACAATTAAAAAGTAAGTAATGTATAGCTTAACTTAGAACTTTTACAAAATTCTAAATATCCGACATTTACATTTAAAAATAATTAATGTCTTTAAATCTTAGTTTATCTGGAATTCTAAATATCCGACATTTACAGACGGCGTCATTAATTCAAAGAATAGGCACGGGGATCGGAGGGGCAAGTGGGGCGGTTGCTCGTAGAGCCAACGGGCGCCGTACTAACTAACTAGTAGCAATCGGGTGTCCACAACTGGACACCCGATTTTGGGACTAATGGATATTTGGATCAACTGGACTTTTTATGTGATCCCCGCGCCTATTCTTCGATTTAATGACGCCGTCTGTACATTTAAAAATAATTAATGTGTAAAATCTTAATCTGTCTGGTATTCTATATATCCAACATCCATATTTATAAATAACAGATGCGAAATAAAATGTAGAATAGGGCTACAGGCGAAAGTCTACGTTAAAAAACTTAACGCGCTATTAGTGGCACCTCATAGGTAGGGCGGAAGACCACTTCATAATGTTATCTATCATCATTGCAAAACATAAAACTTGTATTATATAATTGTTGCAAAAATGTTTAATATTGCAACATAAAAGATCTCTGTAGCAAAGTTTATTTAATATTTTAAGTTCATTTTCTATCGGGAAATACATGACATCTCATGTATTTCGAAAAATTACATTGTTGTCAATTGATTCCACAAATTGCGATATCACCAACATAGAACTCTCAATGTGTGAGACGAGCAAGAAACGTAGAATATCGCGCGTCCACTGTCTACACACAATTTTTACACACAATTTTTATTTAAAAGACGTACAATATTTATATATTTATATTTTTTTCCGAGATTTACAGTCTTAGAAAAAGTACGTAATATTATTAATGATAAGTAAAACATTTCAAGATGCATTATATTTTTTTAAGGAATTATTACATATAAGTTAACTGAAAAAATTCAAAAGTTTTTTGAATATTGCAAGTTATTAGTGTTCTTGTTTTATATATTTTTGTTTTGTAAATTATGACAAAAATCTACATTTTTCAGACATATAATCTCAAAATATTTAATTCATATTATACGAAATTCAATTAATTAATATATTATATTTATATGATATGTTATATGAATTAAATACTTTAGGATTGTGCTTCTGTAAAATGTAGATTCTTTTCGTGATTTACAAATTAAACATATAGAACAATTATTACTACTAATAATATAGTTTATATATATATNAAATGTTTTTCAATATTCTAAAAACTTTTAAATATTAGCACAGGTAACTTATATTAAGAATTAATAAAAATATTATAATAAATGCATCTTGAGATGTTTAACTCATCCTTATCACTAATATTATGTACTTTTTTCAAGACTTACAGTCTTGGAAAAGCATTTTGCGTTGTCATACGCTACATGCACGCAACGTGAAACGTGTCTTTCTACCTTCAGTGTATTGCTCGCATAGCGGGCTTGGTGGAAACGAGGCAGAACATAATATGTCTGCGCTCTTCCACGAGTCGAACAGCCGAGCGTGACGTCACGCACACGGATGGCGTTTCTCGCTTGTGTGCGTGCCCCCACTACTTCGGTGCTCTTGGTGCTGGCCGGCCCGATCTATCATCACTCCTGAACGCTGCGTTTCTTTGCGTTCCCACCCGAGTTCCGCGCATGCGTTCCTGTTACCACGTGTCTACTCACAAAAGAGGGAAAAAGCTAAAACAGATTTGTTATATAGCTTCCCCGCTGGGAGACTTTCACTTTTGTCAATGTTTTACACACATTTCAAATTTTGAAAATCTTTGAACTGAACTCTAATTGGGTAACAAAATTTGTTTTTCCGAAACTTTACATACGCGATGCTGTTTTAACTTTACCACCAACAACGGTCTTTCCGCCGACCAACCAATAGTTTCGTGGGAGGAAGTGACCTTTATGCCGATGAGCAAAGTAGCCATTGGTTATTCCACTCAACTTGTCTAACCAATTGAGACATCGTACCACCTTAAATTTTGAAAGTTTCTCCTTTTAAGTCAATCAGACCAAAAAACACTCTTCTCATTGATACAATTGGTTCATTTCCTGTTGTAGCTTTCGCCTTAGTTTCGCCAATACAAAATTCACCTACAGACCATCCTCAATTGCTGAACTTGCCAGGTGAATATTTGTAATTCTTACTCTAACTCCTATTTTCTGATTTCAGGCCGTACAGCCGACCGTCTACTGCAAGTTACTTCAACAATTGAGGTTTTCTACAATCTGACCAATCACAGGCCTCAACCGTACTTTTACGGGTTTCTGTTAAATTACCAATGGCCGTTAACGCCCTTAACAAAAACCAATTAAAATGAGGTGCGCTTACCCGTTTAAGTGCTATAAAAACAAAAAATCAGAAAAGCATAAATCAATCAATCAGAACGCGCAAAATAAAAAAGAAGAAACAGAGGTCGCACAGAGTCTAAAACATTACTCGCATTGGCTGTTCATCCCTATCGGTGTTTTACGCTAGCCAGCGACTAAATTAAAACTTTAAAACTTTAAAAAAAAAAATCTTCCAACAGTGTGCAACGCACACTGTCTTTTTCTTCGCGTCTTCTGACGCTCATTGGGCAAACTTCGCACGCTTTATCTTCGCAGCCGCTTTTCTATTGGCCAGTTCCTTTGGCTCCTCAGAAGTCGTTCGACCAATCGGTCTTGGTGAACTTTGGTGCTGTCAATTGGTTTGTCTTCCCATTGTCCACTTGTATTTGCGGAGTAGGATGTGCCTTTGTGACCGTCGGTCTCAAGGCTAAAGTAGTTGAGCGAGAAAAAGAAAAGCAAGTGGCGCGATCAAAGTGCAGAAAATGTAGCAGGTAAAAAGAGAAGGTGTGTTTAGAGAAGAGGAAAGGAAAAGTGGAGGAAGTGGAGAAAGTGGAGAAAAATAGGGAGTTATTTGTAAAAGAGAAAAGTAAAGTGATGGATAAAGAAAGTGGAAAAGTGGTAAGCAGGGTGGAGAGATTAAGAGAATCAGAGGGAGTGATGAGAAAGAGAACGGTTAGTGAGGGGGAGATGATGGAGAAGTGACTGAAGAGAAAAAAAAGAAAGAAAAGGATGAAAAAAGAGATAATGAGAGAGGTGATTGAGCTTTTAGAAGACGTAAGAAGGTACAAAGATCTCCGAAGGGTGAGGAAGAAATAGAAAAGAAACGAACCGAAGGGAAAGAAGAGAGGATGGAGGCAGAGAAGGGGAGCTGTAAGGATATATGAAAAGAGATAAATAAAATGAAGAAAGAATTAGAAAGATATATGAAGATGACCGAAAAAATGGGAAGGGAGATAGAGAAATGCAAAAAAAATTAAGAACTGAAAACAAAGATTTGAGAGAGAGGGTGAAAAAGATGGAGAGCAAGTTGGATAAAAAGAAGGAGCAAGAGGATAAAAAAAGAGGAGGGAAAAGGAAAAAGAAAAAAAATGATAAAAGAAAAGTTAGAGGAAAAGATAAAGCAGATAGAGAGAAGTACTGAACGGAAGGAAAGAAAAAACAGAAAGAAGAAAATCTAGTAATAAAAGGTGTGATAAAAGAGAAGAGGGAATTGGAAATGGGGGACAGAGAAAATACTGAAAGAAATGAAAGTAGAAGTAAAGGTGGAGGACACGAAAAGATTAAGTGGAAGTAGGGAAGACAGAGGAGAAATCTGGGTAAGAATGGAGAGAAAAGAATAAAAAGACAATCTGGGAAAGGAAGAAAAATTTAAAAGGGAGAAAAATATAAATCGAAAAGGACTGGACATGGATGGAAAGAAAGATAAAAAGACAGGAAGGGTTGCAGGCGAGGAGAAGAGAAAAGGATGGATTGAGGAGGACAGGAGAGTAAAAGGGGACAGAATAAGGATTGAGGGAAATGGTGGAAATCGAACAAGGAGATGGGGGAGCTAGAAAAAGCGAGAATGCAGGGTAGAAGAGAGCAAAGAGGAAATAGACAGATTTCAGGGAAAAGGAAAAGAGGAAAGGGATGGAAGGTAAAAAAGTAAAAGAAAAGAGAGAGGAGGTGAGGGAAAGAAACGAGAGAAATTTAGGAAGTGAAACTATTGTGGAAGAAGAAAAGTGCAGAATAAAGATGACATTCTGGAATGTAGTAGGCCTGAGAAATAAGGATGATAAATTCTGGAGAGAGACCTTAAAAACTGGGATATTATGGTGTTAATGGAAACCTGGATAGACAAGAGAGGATGGAAGAATATAAATTACCGAAGGGATATGTGTGGGAGACGCAATGGGCTGTAAGAAAGAATAAGAGAGGAAAAGCAATAGGTAAAAGAATGATGAGAGTAAGGAGGGAAATAGAAAGTAAAAAGATGGGAAACTGGATAAAGAGACAAGGAAGCTTGGCAAGAAAAATAAGAATCGAGAGAAAATGGTGGAGGGTGATTGGAGTGTATGTGAGAGATAAAAAAAACTGGATGAGCTAAGGAATTAGATGGAAGGTAAGAGGGATGAAATATGCACTATAGTGAGGGGAGACTTTAATGCAAGATCAGAAGAGAAAGGAAGGGAAAAAAGGGAAAAGGAAGAAGAAGAAAAGAAAGCGGAGAAGGAAGGAAAGCGAAAGATAAGAAGATAAATACGGAAAGAAGAATATTACATAAGAGATAAGTAGATTGGAAAAGCTCGGTTGGTCAACATGAAATGGTGATATAAAAGATGATGAAAAGGGAAAATTGACGTATATAGAGGGAGCGGGGAATTCGGTAATTGACTACGTAATAAGAGAAACGAGATTAAAGAAGGAGATAGAAAAAAAAATGAAAGTA